ACACAATTTTAGTAGAAGTTTCGGAATTCGGAAATTACTACTGGAATAGCTGGAAAACCAAATGAGATATTCCAGAAACTGACGTGGCTTCTGGGCAATATATTCATTTGTTCTGCACTCACTTCCGTGAGCACATGGCACCAGGCACTGGCAAAGTCCAAGGCCAGGCCCTGCCTTCTAGGACCTGCACGCAGATTCCTACAGGGTGCTGTATGGGAAGGGACAGGTTCAGAGTTCAGACAGCAAACACTGCAGGAAGTCAGAAGTGGGGGAGTGCCCAGGATCTACAAACTCTATGGAAGCATGCCTCGGGGAACTGGGCACCAGTCAACTGGCTCCAAACACTCCACCATGTATCCCCAAATTCCAGATGCCCTCATGGGTTGCTAAAAGGGGGTCTCCTTATCTTAGGAGTATTTCTGGGGAGCCTCACTATTAAGCTTTAATGTCCTTTCAGCACATGCTCAGATGAAAAGCCAGTTTTTACAGCACTAACAAAATCTAAAGTAAATGTGAAAGAATCAGTGCCTCTGCCCCGAGGGCTGGGAATCATCCACGACTGCCCCCACAGGAATGAGCTCGACATCTAGAAGTCAGCTATTCGGCACCCTGAACACGTTTTCCCATAGAGACAGAGTATAAATCAGGGTTCATTCTCCAACCAGGCTGACAAAGTTCCATAGTAATTCACATAGTACCAGAATACAGTGCCATACTATTTTTATGGAGACATAATTCCTGTACAATTCAGCCTTTTACAGTATACAGCTCAGTGGTTTTCAGCATATTCATAAAGTTGTGCAACCATCACGACTATCTAATTTTAGAACATTCTGCCACACACCCCCAACTAAAATCCGGTACCCATTAGTACTCCTCCATCCAGCAGCCCCTGGCCACCACTAATCTACAGTCTCTACAAATTTGACTATTGTGCATTTCATGTAAATCAGCTCATAAGATATGTGGTCTTTTGTGTCTGGCTTTTATTCAGTATATTTTCAAGGCCCATCCAAGCTTTAACATGTATCAGTACCTCATTTACTTTTCAAAAGTCTTTTAAAAGTTCATACTTTCTACCTCAAACAGGATTCTACTTTTAAGAACTTAAGCTATGGAAATAACCAGAAATATACAAAAGGATCTGTGTATAAGTGTACATTAAAATGCTATTTAATAGGGAAAAAATGCAACATAGGGACTGGCTAAACTTATACATTTAAATAAGATGGAATACTATGCAGCATTAATAAGCAAGATTTTGAAGGATATTATAAGAAAAGCTCATTCTTAAATGAAGAAAGTAGGTTAAAAACTAAAACCAAGTTGGTGGGAATGACATCAATTAATATATATTATTAAGTATCCTTGGGTAATACGAATATAGATGGTTTAAACTTTCTATGTTACTCATACACTTAAAAATTTTCCTCAATAACTTGACCAAAAAAGCAATTAATCTTTAATAACATTTTTCTACTGGAAGAAAAAACAACTTTTGGAATATTGGAATGTGAACAGAAATACACTAGGAGTTACATGCAGAGTCCCTAATGTTTTTTAATTATTGATATATATGAAAGTAAGAAGAGTCAATTAATAAGTTAAAAGTGAAAAGCAGAAAAGACAATGAATATAAATGCAGAAACTGAATTAGGTAATAAAAAATGGGATTGTTGAATAATCTAAGAACCAGTTCTTTTTTTTTTTTAAGAACCAGTTCTCTTAAAAGCAAAAAGAAAAAAATGGGACCCAATCAAACCTAAACCTATAAGTTTTTTCACAGCAAAGAAAAATCATAAACAAAATGAAAAGACAATCTACAGACTAGAAGAAAATATCTGCAAACAATACAACTGACAGGGGCTTAATCTGCAAAATATACAAACATCTCATACAACTCGGTAACAAAAAACAAGCAATGGTCAGAAGACCTAAATTGACATTTCTCCCAGAAGACATATAGATGGTCAACAGGCACACGAAAAGATGCTCAAAATCACTAATTACTAGAGAAACGCAAATCAAAACTACAATAACATATCACCTCACACTAGTCAGAATGCCCAGCATCAAAAGGTCTACAAATGACAAATGCTGGAGAGGCTGTGGAGAAAAGGGAACCCTCCTACGCTGCTGGTAGCAATGTAAACTGATGCGGCCACTATGGAGAACAGTATGAAGGTTCCTTAAAAACTGAAAGTAGAGTTTCCATACAATCCGGCAATCCCACTACTGGGCATCAATCTGGAAAAGACTAAAAAACCTCTAATTTGAAAAGAAACGTGCACCCCAATGTTCGAAGCAGCACTACTTACAATAGCCAAGACAAGGAAGTAAACTAAATGTCCAACAGATGAGTGGATAAAGAAGTTGAGGTCTTCCATTCCATAACAATGGAATATTACTTAGCAAAAAAAATTGAAATAATGCCATTTGCAGCAATGTGGATGGACCTAGATATTATCATATAAGTGAAGTAAGTCAGAAAGAGAAAGACAAATATAATGTGATATTGCTTATATGTAGAATCTAAAATACGAGATAAATGAACATACCTACTAAACAGAAACAGACTCACAGACATAGACACCAGACTTGTGGCTGCCAAGGGGCAGGGATGGTTGAAGAGGGATGGATTAGGAGTTGGGATTAGCAGAAGCAAACTATTATATATAAAATGAATAAAAGCAAGGTCCTATAATTTAGCACAGGAAACTATATTCAATATCCTCTGATAAACCATAATGCAAAAGAATATGAAAAACATACATATATATATATATGTATAACTGAATCACTCTGCTATACAGAAAAAATTAATGCAATATTATAAATCAACTTTACTCGAATACAATTTTTTTCAAAGAGAATTATGACCAAAAAAAAGTAAAGCAAGTAAGTAAAATTTTACTAAGCAAGTAAAATTAGAAGCATGAAAGGGAACCAACATAATATTGTAAAGCAATTATCCTTCAAATAAAAATAAATTTTTTTAAAAAAGAAATGTGAAAGGGGATCCAACCAGAGACATTTATGTTTAAAATACAAACACATATTACTAAATTAAAAGGTGTGAAGTGGGAAAATAAATAACAAAAATGGACTCAAGAAGTTAAAAAGTTCCTATGATCTTATTATCTTATTCTTATATTATCTTATATTATCAGAATCTTATTATCTCCCTGAAAACTACGTTCTCTCAAATTTTCAAGAAATTCTAAAACTATAAAAATGTTCCAGAGCACAAAGAATCATGGAAAGTTACTAAATGAATTATATGGGGCTACCTGCACTCTGAAATCAAAACACAAACAAAGGATACCTCCTACCCAAAGAATTAAGCACACACATGCTTTCAAAAAATTCTAAATCCAAAATTAGGCTGTACTATTCAACATTATCAGGAACAATTTACTATTAAGAACTGTACAAAGGGGCTTCCCTGGTGCTCCCAATGCAGGGGGCCCGGGTTCGATCCTTGGTCAGGGAACTAGATCCCACATGCCAGAACTAAGACCCAGCACAGCCAAAAAAAAAAAAAACTGAAAGAAATGTACAAATACTCAAAACCAAATTGATCATCTATAATAAATTATTGGTCAAAACATTCCAGTGAAATTCAACACCTATTCCTATTAAACACTCTAAAAGCCACAAATCAAAGAATAATTCATTTACATAGTTTAAAATGTCTCTCCCTAGCCAGTAAGTAAACAATAAACTAATGCAGGAAAAGTAAAAATGGACCAAATAAAATGAGGACTAAAATAAAAGAGGCCATCAGGCAAGTCTGACTAGTTCAATAAGCCACAAAGTAAAACCAAGAGCAGTTAATCACACCAAAATAAAATAAGTAGAAGTTTAAATGGAGGAAGGAATATCCCATTTGGAGCAACAACTTAATCAATCCATAAACAAATAAAATAAAACCTGAAAGTAGCTGAAACTAACACTAACCCAAAATGTTGGATCCTAAACACAAAGAAAATTATCCACCTTGACTGAGTTACAAAAGAATTTTTAAAAATTGGGACGCATACTGTATTTCTAGATAAAATTACTTAATAAAATGAAGAAAACTATTTTAAACTACTCTATTCCTGTTATTAATATTATAGTCATACCTTACACAGTCATACCTTTATCCCCTGAAGCCAAAATTATAAAGTTATAAAAGAAATGCTGCATAGACATTAAAAAATATGATGAACATTTAGACCAATCACCATGGGAAGTGATCACCATAAACTGTCAAGAGAAAAAAAAAAACAAACAGGTATAAAACAAAAGGATCACTGTGATCTCATGCTATATGCTGCTAAAGAGACATCTAGACGTAAAGATAATCACTCTAAAGTGAGCAGCTGGGTACCCCCAGGCTCTGAGGTCACATGATTTTATGCATTTAGAACTTTTGCACAAAGTACAACATAATTTCTATATATGGGGGTGGGAGGGTTAAGTTTTAAAAAGAAAACAAGTATACTAAAATATTAACATTCTATTTTGAGGTAACTAAATTACAGTTATTTTCTAATCGCTTCCACATTCTTTTCTGTATTTCCAAATTTTCTACAACGATCATGAAAAACAGATCTCTTGTACAACTGTTAAAGAAATATCAACATTCTATTTTGAGGTAGCTAAATTACGGTTATTTTCTAATTGCTTCCACATTCTTTCCTGTATTTCTAAATTTTCTACAGCAATCCTGAGAAATGAATCTCTGTGTAAAACAGTTAAAGAAATGCAAACTACAACATGTTTAAACAACTCATTTGGACCCTCTCATTCTTTTGTGCTTACATGTGCCAAATTCTCAGTTTTTCTACAGCCACTGTACTATTTCAAACCTTGAACTCAAAATGTATCAGGAACTGCTCCAATCAGAGGGCAAAGGATGAAAAGTCTGAACTGCTCACACACATCCGTTCAAATTAAACAGGAAAACCAAAGGTGGCGGAGGACTCGAGAGAGCTGTGCGTTCACAGACTCACCGTAAAGCTGTTGTTGACGTTCTTGGTGCTGGATTCAGCCACGCTGGCATCAGTCAGGTCCACCTCATCAAATATGATCGACTGGAAAAACACAGGGACTGCTGTCAGAGGGGACGAAGGCACCCCCGGCCCCGGACGGCCAACCGGTCTCCCTTGACCCCAGCCAAGTGTGTGAGAACTACATGGATACCGAGTGACTTCACCCAACCCACTTCTGACAGTGCGTAGGGCTCATGGGAGAAGCTCAAGACCTTTTCCAAGTCCAGGGAGCTCCCTAGTGACCTGCAACCAGTGAAGTCAGAAACATGTCCTCCCACGAGTCCACCTGAGAGCACGGTCCAGAGTGGAGGTCCTCTGTCCTTTCGGCTTTAGTTTCTCCACCATGCGCACTTGGGGAGAAAGGTATTGGCTAAAATAAACGATTCTAGGGGAGGAGAGACCGACCCAAACAGAAGGGACCCAGCCATGAAAGAAAACAGGGGGCACAGCAGAGACAATCTAGTCCCGGAGAGAAAGAAGGGTCTAGAAGCAGGTTTGGGACTCCCCCCTCCCCGTTTTCTTCTCCTCTCCCCGCCAAGTCCCCCTGTCAGAGCCCCCCAGCTCCTGTTTACCTTACTGTCCCCTCTGGAGGAAACACTAGCAACTTAGAAAAGACAGCCTTTTAAGTAACTCCCCCCCGCCCCTTGAACTAAAATAACTATACGAGTCTGTTTTTTTTAATGAAGGATGTGGTCAGAATCCTTTCTAAACAAGTTACTCCGCACAGTTTCAATTTTAATGCACTAGCCCACTAGGGATACATCTCAAAATACAAATTACTCAGGTCCCAGTTTTTTTATTAATAATTCTAAAATATTAGCATCTGAACACAAAGACTGGTGTTCAGAACACCAAAAACTAGGTTTGTAGACACACTAGTGTCTGAAGTGTGCTACACCACAGTCGCCTAAGCCAGGCAGTGATTCAGGGACTCTCAACGGCTCCTCCTCTGTCACTGGCATCTGCCTGGGACTCCAGCTATAAATCTTACAAAGATGACACACGGGAGGAAGGATCATGGCTAGATAGCCCAGAGAGAGCTTCTGTTCACACACCGAAAAGCCCAGCACACTTTAAGCATATTTTTAGTTAGCTTCACAGGTATATATACACTTGTCTCCAAAGTCATCAAGTTGCACACATTAAGTTTCCATACAGTGTTTATAAAAGTGTTTTGAAAAAAGAGAAAAAAAAGGTCTTCCCTGATGGTACAGTGGATAAGAAGTTACCTGCCAATATGGGGGACATGGGTTCCATCCCTGGTCTGGGAAGATTCCACATGCCATGGGGTGACTAAGCCCATGGAGCACAAATACTGAGCCCGAATGCTGCAACTAGAAGCCCAAGTGCCTAGAGCCTGTGCTCTGCAACAAGAGAAGCCTCCGCAATGAGAAGCCCGAGAACCGCAGCGACTCACTGCAATTAGAAAAAGCCCCTGCAAAGCAACAAAGACCCAGCGCGGCCAAATACAAATAATAATAATAACAATCAAGTCTTTAAATGATTTAAAAAGAATACAGAAAACTTAGAGGGAAAAAAAATAAGATATTTAGGCCAAAATAAGAGGGTTTTTAAGCCAGTGATCCCCAATCTTTCCAAAAGAAATATGTCTACTTGTAACACGGTTACTTCTGTGAACTTTCGCTCCCCATCTCTCCTCTCTGGTGACATATGACATTAAAGAAAAGAGATAATGAATTAAAAAAATCAACATTCACAAAACATAAGACCCAGCACCCCAGAGGCTTACAAAATGCACTCAGAATATCAGCTCTAGAATGGAAGGTCCTTCCCCAGATGAGGACCTGGAACTCAGCTCTCCCTGCAGCTTCTCGGGGGGTTTTCTCTTGTCAAGTGTCCTCCACTGAGTCTCACCTTGGCAGTTTTTGCATAGTACAGCGTCCGTCCCCGAAGCTTGAAGTATCTTCGTTTTGATCGTTGGAACGAATTGTTCTGTTTGGTCAGCATCCCCTCTTTGATGACAGTCTGGAAGCACAGAAAGGGATTCGTGAGCGTGTGTTTTCATGGCGCCGTGCGCTTGTCCACTGACGGCCCAGAGCATCTGTGTCTCTAACAGGCCGACGGCCTAACAGAAGAACTATTTCTCACCCTCTGCGCAAACCCTGACCTACGGACAGGCTGAGTGGGCAGCGGGGAGAGGCTGACCCGACCCTCTGGGGGCAATGGCCTGCCTGAGCAGCAGGGCAGGGGAGGCATGCCAGAGACCCAGGTGTGCCCGCGCGTGCCCCAGGTGGGGGTCAGCGGAAGGGGGCGAGGGCAGGTAGGCCCACCGTCAGGGGCCAGGACGTGTTCTCCAGCCTCAGCGCGGGGTAGTTCTCAGCGTTCTTGGCCCGGTCTCCGTGCTCTCTGGCCTCCTGCCATTTCTCAGGAGCCGGCTGCCAAAACTGTCGACGTAGGTTGCTATGGGGTTCGGCGTGGCCCAGGCCTGCCCCCCCTTGGCCCTCAGCCCTGTTCGTGGGCCGGGTGTGTGTCTACCCACGCTGCGACACCGAGGTGCCACCAGCAACGTCACTGAGACCCCTCTACCCCCGAATCTGACCAGCCTGCCACCGAGGCAGGAGCGCAGAGAGAACCATGGGGTGAGGGGCAGTCCGCTCAGCTCGGCGCACACACCCAGATGGGGCAGGCCCTCCTCGGAGCTGAATCCTGGACGCTGGGCCCGGGGCCGCACCACTTACAAGCCAAGTGCTCAGGACCCTGCCTGGTCAGCAGATGTGCTGGACCACTCAGGGCCGCCAACAGCCAAAACGAAGCAGCGAGGCGCCCTGACGCCGGAGCCGGGCTCCCAGCGAGCGCTCTGCCCAGCGCCTCCTTGTGTGGCGGAGGCAGAACGCACAGAAACGCTGCCCGAGGAAAGGACACCGGTCCAGGGAAGCTTCTCGTCTCATCACCTGACCCCGTGCAGCTCTGCACTTTCAGTCACTCTTAACTGGCTGTACGAAGCACCTGGGCACCTGTGGCCACTGAAGACGACATAAGGTGAAACGAAACACAGAGACCCCACGTCACCCGAACACGTCAGAGGCAAGACCTGGTCACTGCTGTCTGTCTGTCCCTCCGTCAGCCACCTCCTAATGGGGGAGGGAGTCGAACCTGGGAGGCTCTGCTGCTCCCCGCAGGTGAATGCTGGAGACAGCGCCCCCACCCCAGGCACGCGCGCGCGCACACACACACACACAAACACACACACACACTCTCACACCCCACCAGCACCTGGCCGGGCACAGGTCCACCCGAGAGCCCCTGTGTCCAAGCTGCTCCTCCCGATTCCCACCGCAGGACATCCTCTTGGAGCTCCCGGGGCAGGGGGCCTACACAGCTGGCTTGCAACCCCATGCCGGGTCCCTCGGGCTGGCCCAGCAGTACAGCAACCCTCTCCAACGCCCGAGAGGATCAACTCTGGGGGAAAGCTAGTGAGGAACGTCTGCACTTATCCCGGGGCAGGAACCCTCTCGGTTACCTCTGAGGAGGTCACCCACCACTCTCCCAGGTCACTGAGGAGGGGAGACGAACACAGCATGTCCCGACGATGCGGGAGAGACACGTGCCGGCCCATGGTGGAGAGAAAGCCTCCTGAACGAGGAGCTCCAGGTAGAAACCGGCCTGCACTACAGGAGGACTGCCAAGTTGCATCCGAGGATTCTTTTCAGACCCAAGTGCACACGTGGATGCTATTTCAATATGCTCTTCAAAGACAGGCCACTGCGTCCGTGCCCAGCGGTGCAGACCCACGATGCCTGCACCGCCCACCCCCCGCCAGGCAAGCCTCTGCTTGGGACCCCACAGACCTCGCTCATGGATCCAGGCACCTCTCCTCACCCCCAAACATCTTCCTTACCTCTGCAAGGGAAGCAATCGCCTCCATCTCTTTCCCAAATGCAAAGAAAAAAAGGAAAAAAATTCTGAAAGACAACAAAATCACAGGCCGAGACCTAGAAAAGTTAAAAGAAGTTCTTTTTAAAGGATAAATGCTAGAGTATTTTTCTTGCAGCTCCCGCTCCACATGCCACACATAAAAGAAAAGCAAAATTAAAACAAATACACTCCAACACACACACACACACATCTTTCAGAGAGCGGATGAGAGCTGCGATCTCGGGCTACCCAAGGAGAGCTGTCGTTCTATTTATAGAACAAGAGTGCTCAGAAAAAGACTCTGGTGGGTTTCAGCGGAAGGGCTGGGGAAAAGATAAAGACCAGTATTTCTTTGAAGCTTTCTCAGAAACTGCATTTCTTCTCACATTTGCTGCTCGTGAGGACTATAGATATGCTGCAGAATATTTTTAACACTCTGTCAAAAGCAATGAACTAAATAAAAGTGGTCAAGAAAAGCACACCCCTGACTAATCAGCTGTGCTTTGCATTTGGCAGCCGGTAAGCGGCACCCACAGGAAACGGCTCAGCTCGCAGGGCTCAGCACACCCACCAGAGCGGAGGACCAGGAGTCCAAACCCAGACCCGAGAGGCCAAGCTCTTAGCATCGCTTTGTCAAGTTCTTTGCACAGGCAACAGGGCCAGCCCTGTCCTTCCAGCGGTCCGGGGCATCTTCCTCAGCCTCAGGGACAGGAAGGACTGAGCTGCAGCACACACACAGGCACTGAGGATCCAGGCGGCGAGCGGAAGGGGAGCACTGGGCCCGGCTCCAAAGGGAGGACGCCAGTCCTGGCTAGGCTCTGGGGGGAGGTGGGGGGGCAGAACAGCCACCCACTGGCCCCCAGAGAGGCGCCCAACCCACAAGGCGAGACAGCCCGGGCACCTGCCACAGGGAAGGCTCGAGTCTGCCGTCATCCTGCTCAAGAGCCAAGAGCAGATAAGGCAGCTCTAGAAATGCCCTCCAAATGCACCAACCGGCAGGCGGAGACAGTGAGGGCAGGCCTGCCTGCAGGCTGGGTGCCCCCAGTCCCTGGGAGTCGACCCCTCTGCAAAGGCAGTGGGAACGCCTTCCCTCACCTCCCCCACACCCTCCCCAGACAAGCAGTGGCCACCGCTCCGCCGGCTCCAGGGACAGCTCAGACCCGGGGAGGACAGAGCATATAGGGCGCCGGGGAGGGAGCACTTCCCGCCAGGGAGGGCGGCCCAGAGCCGGTCTGAGCGGGCAGGACAGAGGGGTCCACAGCCTGCGGAGGGCTGCAAACAGAGCCCGCGAGGGCTGGTGAGGTGACCGGGGGCCCACCTGCTCCCTGAGGGCACACCTGTCAGTCACAGGGGCCCCAGATCAGGGGGGTGGTTTCTTAGGCTGCACAGTTTAGAAGGACGATCTTGGCCACCATGTGGAGGGCAGGCGGTAAGAGTGAAACCAGGAGGCAGGCAGACTCCTCCAGACACTCTTACAGGATGGCAGCCGGCCATGAGGCACGTCTGGGAGGAAGGAGTCACGGTCACGGGCGTGAGAGTGCTCAGAGGAGGCACCACAGATGGGGCGATGGGGGTGACCCCGGGGTCACCTGAAGGAGGCTGTGGGCTTTCGTCTTGGACACGGCGACTCCGAGGCCCGGGGAGCTGTGGAGAGCCGGCAGCAGACCGTGCGACTGGGGTGCGTGAGAAGGTTCAGCGGGAGACACCTCGATGGCATCCCTTTCGAGAACGGAGGGGAAGGAGAAGAGGCCCAGGGCACTGAGAAGCCCAGGACACCGACGTCAGGTGCAAGGAGGAGCTGGGTGTCCAGGAAGGAGGACAAGGAGGAAGTGGCACGAAGCCAAGGAGCAGAGGAGAGACGGCAGCCGGGGATGCCGACTGAGGGGGGTGCGGGGGCCAGAAGGAGCCCGAGGCGGTGGCCACCGGAGTCACCGCCAGGGCAGGCGCGGGACCCGACCGGGGGGACACCAGACCAAAGCGCAGTGAAGGCTACCCAGACGGGAGGAAGCAAAGATGGCAGGCTGGTTTGGTTTTTTTTTTTAATTTACGTATTTCTTAACTTTTTATGAACATGGAATCATACTGTACATACCGTGCTTCAGCTTCCTATTCTTTCTGTCATCATGTGTTATCAACAGCCTTCCATATTAGTAAATGCATCTCTGTCTGCTACAGACTTCTTCACTGTAGTGATGAGCATAAATCATTCAACACACTCCCACGGCTCGAACGTTTAGAACGCTTCCTGCTCAGCACCGACAACAAGGCTTCAAAGACTACTGCCGCAAGTGGAGTATCTGCACATGTCCTGAGCTACTCCTTAGAACCAAGAACCAGAAGGAGAACTTGGGGGTCAAAGCTCAGATGCTCACAGGGTTGAAGGCATGACAGGTGACCACAGGTGGCGGGGGGCAGGGTGGAGAAACTAGTCAGTGGACCGGCACAGGTCATCATCTAAGGGGAAGGATGCCATGGGCCCACACCTCACACACCACACAGAAGTCAGCACAGTCAGTGCAGAAGGTGAAACTTGAAAAGCTTCCGTAGACAACACAGGATCAATTCTCTAGGACTTCAGGATTGGAAAAAAATTTCTCAAATAGGATTTTTAAATACTAAACATAAAGCATAAGGTCTCTAAAACCAACTTCATTCCCACCGAGAACGTCTGGTCATCAGACACCTTACAAAGAAACAAAAGACAGAAACCACATCGGGGAGAAGATACATGAAGTACACAGCCAGAGAGGACATCCAGAATATTCTATTCTAAGCAGCCCTGCAAAAGGACAGCAAAGAGAGGCTACCAAACGGAAAAGCGGCAGAAAGCGTGAACCGTGGTGATGGTAAGTCAAATGATGACTAAAAGATGCTGAACTGCAGGAGGCTGGAGAGAAGAGACCCCGGGAAGGGGCAGCCGAGTGCCCTACTGTGGCGGGGGGTCACACATGTGTCTCCACTCGCATCACAGCTTACACTTACGTGGCGTGCAAAGAGAACGGGACAAACCAGGCTAATAAAAGGATGAAGTGAGATCTCGGGCAGAGCTTTGCTGACGCTGCCGTTGTGGTGTCAGTGCAAGAATTTTTGCAGTTTCCTGACCAGCCGGC